ACGCGCCCGCCACCGCGCTCACGGTTGCCGCCGTCTGGGCCTGGCTGCGGCGCCGGGCGCCTCCGGCCGCCGCCTGGGACGCCGCCGAGCCCCTGGCGGCAAAGGTGCCCCCAAGGGAGGGGGGGGGGGCTTCCTCCTCTCCTCTCCCGGGGGCGGCCAAGAGGTCGGCGATGACTAGGGGTTTGTGGATGTCATGCTTGGGGCAGTGGTATCCCCCGGATTGCACGAGGGGGGGGGGCTTCCTCCTCGCCTCTCCCGGGGGCGGCCAAGAGGTCGGCGATCGGGAGCCTTGAGACGGGGATCAACGCACACGGGGGTCAGCCAGGGCACCGGATCCTGCAGGATCCTGCGAAGAGCCCCTTTGGCTGACCCGGGTCAGCGAGCCGCTCGTGGCCGCGAGGCGGCCGCGCCCGTTGGCTGACCCGGGTTTGCGAAGACCTGCGTTGCAGTTTTTTTCCTGCATTGCAGTTTTTGGTTTCTTGCTGACCCGGGTCTGGATTGACCCGGGTCAGAAGATCACCGAGGCGATGACTACGGGTTTGTGGATATCATGGTTGGAGCAGTGGTATCCCCCGGATTGCATGGCTCTTCTGCTCCTTCAGCACGACCCTTGGTCCCCCCTCGTTTGCGCACATTCCTCGAGACAACATTTGTGAACCTCCCTTGTGGATGCACACCTTTTGGACGCCATCGGCTTTTTGCGTTTGTCGGATTCTAGGAACCAAGCTCGTATTTCTTCCCTCCCCCCTCTCTTCCCCTCTCCCTCGTGAGCTCCCTCCAATATGATGCATAGGCACGGTAACACTCCTTGGTGGTCGTGTCACAACCTGTTTGCAAGGCTCACAGCGCAGCACATTTTCCGAGCATCAGCCTGTGAAACGAACTCGTCATAGCAGGCGGCCAGTCCAATCAAACCTCCCTCCCTTCCCCAATCCCTCCTTGCTTCGCACTGGGCGGTGGCGGAGGCGGCTTTGCTTCGGGTCGATTGTACCACCCGCCCCTGTTTCAGTGATATATGGAGCACTCGTGCGCCACGCCCCGCATCGAGCGAAGCGGCTTCGATCTCGTCCTCCCTCTTCCTGTTCTTCTCTAGGCCTGGGGTCCGAGTGCATGGGGTCGGATGAAGGCCCCGTATCGCGGATGCATCTCATCGTCGATGCGTCGGTGACGCAATGAGCGCATTGAGGCGTATGGGCGGTGCATCAACAAGGCATCATCGATGCATGGTCAATGCGCCGTACGCAAGCAGACCCTGCGCGAAGGACGCTCGGATATCCCCTTCCCGTGGGGGAAGGGGATCCCCGAGCGGATCCAAGGATCCCGTTGCCGATCCGAGGACGGCGGTTTCGATGTGCGAATTCATGTTCGATCCGCGGATCCTTCGTTTCGATCCGCGTGTCATGGTTTCAGTCAAACTCACGACATGTTTACAACCCGCGGTCTAGTGTTTTGATCCTCGGTTTCATTTTCGATATGTGGATTTATTTTTCGGCCCGCGGGTTTATCTTTCCATCCGCGGATTCGTATTCGACCCTCGGATTCATGATTCTATGCACGGACTCGTGATGCCGCACTGAGTCATTTGTCGACTTGTGGATCATTGTTTTGATTCAATGCGCAGATCGATGTGCATCTTCGATGCATCGAGGATGCATCGCAGATGTGTCATGGATGAGGGTCGGCGCGGTTCGAGCTTCGCCCGCGCATCGTCGATGCATCAGCGATGCGGTGTTTTTCTTTCGACCCCATCTACTCCGACCCCATCTGGGAGCCCTTTATCTTCCCTATTCACTTCCAGTGTTCGTGGCGGCCGTCGTACGATCCCCAGCTCCCCCAGCCCCTTGAGTTCGATGTGGCCTCCTTCCACGGCTTCACCTCCCCGACCGCGGTGGTCGAAGTCGCTTCGTGGTTTAAGGGGGTTCGTGAGGATGCAGCGCCTTTCGAGCTCACTTTGGAGGAGGATTGAGCTCACGACCGTCTTTGGGTGGCCTCTTGGGGGCCCTGTGGGAGTGTGTGCTGGCGCCTACGGGCTGGTGGCGGAGATATGAAAGAGAGAGAGAGAGAGCAATGGAGGAGAGAGAGAGAGGTAGTCTCTTCGCCGAGTGGCTCCGCCCGCTCTCCGCGCGCCATGCCGCAGCAAGCGACGACCTGCCGCGCCGCCCTGGAGGCTGCGCGCGGCACTCCTGTGGCGGCCCACGCTGCCGCCAGCCTCAGCGCGGGCGTGAGCCGCGAGGCTCTGCGCCTCCTGAGGGCGGCCGAGGGCTTGGCGGGGGCAGCTGCGGCGGTCCTCGGCGCGCCCGCGGCCACAGCTCCCGGTGATGGCTCCAGCCTCATCAGTGACGAGGGAGGGCTTCGAGTTCGAGGCGAGTAAATCTATGGGCGCGTTTCCTCACTCAGGCTCCATCAAGAGAGTGGGCGTGGAAGAACACGATGGATGTGTGGCCGATGCTATTGTATACCAGCGCGTGCAAGGCAATGAAGGGTTGTTCAACAATCGGCCGGTGTACCGCAGCACAAGCAATCATTCGGAGCGCGGTCGCGAGCGCGCGCGCAGCCGCGGGCGCTCGAATCCCCCCGACGAGCATGACAATTTGCGTTGACCATTCGGTCGAGATCGACACAAGAACCACTGGGTCGAGTCCGAGACAATCTAATTTCAGTTTGCGCGCGAGGTAGCTTGTACTGAGATGGCAAACGAAATATGTGTCCACTTTGCTGATCCCAAAGGTATCATGCCGACTCGATCACGGTGGCCAGCTCAATGCATATGACTCAACAGTTTTCGAAGATGCTGACTCAGGTATCGCGCAGATTAAATTTCATAATGAGGTGACAAAGAAATCCACGCAAATGTTGACACTCTTCTCAAGGGTGCAAGGGGCTTTATCGCTGAAGCAGTGTCGGGTGATTCAGAAGAGGCTGCTTTCGCCCCGCGGCAGGAGAAACATCCCCCACGCGGGCGGGACCTGAACCCCACGAAGCTCGACCAGATCGATCCACAATCCGCTTGACATTATTGCTTGTTCGCTGTAGAACATGTTATTCTGGCCCATCGCACTGCGATGAGGGCGCTTCGCTGGGAGCCCTTATAGATTGTCGCGTTCACTTGCGTTGCATTTTGACACCCTGGCCGCATTGTCGAGGGCCCGAGGACGGCCCAAGAGAGCCCCAAGAGAGGTCCTCCAAGGGGCCGCCACGAGGGCTTAAGAGATCTCCCAGGAATGCCAAGGACCTCCACGAGGCCCCCAAGTGGGCCCCTCGAAACGCCCAAATGCCCCAACACGGTCGCCACGAGGCCTCAAGACTGCCTCCACGGGGTCTCCAAGACGCGTCCCTCGAGGGAGGGGCAGGGGTGGGGGAAATTGGGGGGCAGGACCGATTTCGATCAGATTTCCGCCGGGCGAGGGGCGCAGACCTCATGGAACAGGACGAACTCGAGAGCCATGACACGAAGGGGGCGACGCTGCGGTCGGAGGGTGGGCGGTGGAGGAAGGAGTGGAGGAGTTGCAGAAGGACGGGCAGAATAGAACAGACACGCGAGGGGGTTGGTGGTGCTGAGGATCAGGATAAGGATGAGGGGCGCAGTAAACGCAGCAAACACCATCGACTGCAATGCTCAACTGATCATACATGTACCCATACCCATGCATCAACTGATGCGTGTCTAGCACATGTTCACCTTTGCATACATGCATTGGGCGGAGAGTGGGGGATCTATCGATATAGAAGAAGAGGGATCTACATATCCAGACATCTACACACCTACCTACATTGCGATGTACGCGGGCTCACATTTACGCACATACATACAGACATACATACGTACATACATGCATCCATACATACTTACATACACACATACACACGTTTTGCGTTTGCGGCTTGGCAGAGGGTGACTGCGCTGGCGATGAAAAGCATAGACGGAGGTTCCGTTGTAGCGATTTGTGACACCATGCAAGAAGAGGAGAGAGGAGGGACGCGGCCGAAGGAAAACAATGACGAGGCGGGCCGCTCAGGGGTCAGAACGCTCCCCGAGCGTGTGGCGCGGCGGGCCCCGCCGCTTGGCACGCGGCGGTTGCTGCGACGTCGGGCCGGGGGCGGCGGGGCCAAGTGCGGAAAGACGAAGCCTGATGACGATTGTGTGGCGAGGTGTCAAATCCGAGGCTGCCCAACCCCATCACGGGTGCGTTAGGAACCACGGGGATGTGGCGCCAGCGGCGGGCGGCAAGACCAGGCCCAGGGCTGGTGCGGGTGTCGACGGCTGGCGGCCAAGGGCGGCGTCAGCGGGCCATCAGCGCCATGGCGGCGCGGAGGGAGGGAGAGCGAGAGAGGGGGGTACATACATACATACATGCAGGCACACATACATACAAACATACATCCATCCATCCATCCATCCATCCATCCATCCATCCATCCATACATACACACATACATACGTACGTACGTACGTATATACATGCATACACATAGATACATACATACATACATACATACATACATACATACATACATACATACATACATACATACATACATACACACATACACACATACACACATACATACATACATACACACATACATGCATACATACATACAATAATGCATACACACATACACACACGCACGCGTACATACATGCATACATCCATCATCACATGCATCTTTGCACACATACAAGCAATCGTACACATACATAAATACATACACACATGCATGCATACATACATCCATGCATCCATGCATACATGCATACATGCTTACACGCATACATACATACATACATGCGTTTACACACATACATACACAGGCACGTACATGCATTCATGCATACGCACAGACGAACATACATACATCCTTACAAGCATACGGGCATGCATAAATGTATACGCACGTAATGATTATACATAAGCATACACTCATATATGCACATACATGCATCCATACGTTCATGCATACATACAAACAAACATACATAAGTGCCTACGTGCATGCCACAGTCCCACATGCACGCATACATGCATACATACATATATGCATGCATGAATGCATACATGCATACGTCTATGCATACATACATGTACAAGCTCATACATGCGCACACACATGTAGGTTTAGGTGTTTACATACAGTAGTTTGTTTACACGTATGCGCGCATATCAGTAAGCATGTATGCCTACACGCAGCTGACATCGTGAAACATAGGCAAAACAGTAAACATATACATGTTGTATATATGGAGAGAGAGAGAGCGAGAGAGTGAGAGAGAGAGAGACAGAGAGCGATCGACAAGAAAGAGAGAGAGAGAGAGAGACAGAGAGAGAGAGAGAGAGAAACAGAGAGTGCGCGCTCAGCCCCGCCGCCAGCCCACGGCGCGCGCGCGGAGGTGCAGCGGCTGATCGCGCAGCCCGATACGGCTGCTGCAGAGAGGCGCCTCGGGCGCTCGCGGCCTTCGCCCGTCGACTTCGCGGCGCGGGCCGCTCCTGCATGATGGGCCCCACGCGGGGCCAAGGTAGTGTTGCCACTTGTTGCGGTTGGGTTGGGTGCGGCCTTGGGTCGTTTCTTGGGGCTCAAAGATCCTGGGCCGTCCGGCCATCGTTGCGCCCAGATTATGAGGACGCGAGGGTGACCACGAGGAAGAAGGATATGTGGTTCGAGGGCGTCGGTATTTTGTATGTGATGTGTCTTGCTTTGGGCTTTGGAGACGTCTGGTGACCTTCGGAGGGAGGCCCGCCACGCCGACCTGTGATCGGGGCGCTCGACGTCTGGGCCCGGCGGCCAAGACGCCGAAATGTAGGGAGCGCCGTGGTGTCAGAAGGGGGCTCCGGTTTCCGGGCCGTTCGCCGGACCTGTGTCGGGGAGCCTCTTCGTGGCCAGGGCTGGCCGTGGCCGGGAAGGCCTTTTCGTTCCTTGTGCAGCGTTCTTCGTAGTCGCGCGACGAATGTAGAAGTTTGGGCCCTGCTCCTCTCCCGCTCCTCCTTCAAGGGGGCTCCCCTGCTTCCATATTGCTGCACATCGCACAAGAGCGAGTAGACAGAGGCGACGAAAACACGGAGGGGGGAAGGGGGAGGGAAGGAGAGCAGCCGCAGCAGCAACAACAACAACGACGACAGAGAGGGAACGGGCGAGACGGAGACAGAAGAGGCCCGACTCCCGGCCCCCCCGCAGGCATCCCCTGCCCTCCTCAGGCCTCCCCCCCTCCTCCCACTCCTCCGCCTCGACTGCCTCGCCCTGCTCCTCTCCTCGCCGTCCTTTCGTTTGGCAATCAGCTGCGACGGGGCTGTTGCGTTTCTCCTCGCCCTCGTCCTCCTGCTCCTTGTCCTGCTCCTCCTCCTCCTCCTCCTCCTCCTCCCTTCCTCCCCCTCCCCGTGCTCCAGCTGCCGCGACAGCTCGAAGCGTGTCGATTTGGGTGCTGCAACAGTTGCAGCGACGACCGCTAGAGCGCGCGCGGCCACGGGCGGCGCGGCCATCCGCGCCCCCGATCCCGCCAGGCACCGGCGCCATCGGCGGCAGCGAGCCCTGGCTCGGACGATGTTGCAGCTGGGCGCCGCCACGGGCCTGGTGGCCAGTCACCACAGCAGCCAGCAGCCCGCCGCCATGGCCAAGAGCGACAAGAAAGCAAGGTCATCGTCGGCCCCGCGGCAGAGCGACATATCGACATCGTGGACCTGCAAAGGCTGCGTTATTTAGATTGCCGCGCCACTTGCCGAGATTGCGGGGAGAAGAAGGGGACGTTGCCGCCGTGGAAGGCAGATGGCGGCACCCCGAGGCAGCACAACCGCCAGCGGGGAGGAGGTCAACGCAGCCAGGCGCAGTGAGGAGCCGCCACGGACGGTGCAGCAGGCAGCGGACAAGGGCCCCATGGGCGTCCTGCCACTGCTACCCATGGAGGCCAAGAGGCACAAGGCGTGGGTGCAGCCGCCCCCGCTCGCCGCTGGGCTCAAACAGTTCCGAGAGTCCCTGCGCAAGGCACTGCTTGTGGCAGAGGGCAGAATCAGAGCGATCAGAGGACTGCCGGAGCCAGATCGGAAGAGGTTGGACCAGGCCGAGCGAGCATGCGCCGGCATCCTTTGCCAGGTCATCATGGCCAAGGACCCAGAGCAGACGCAGGAACGCCAGGAAGCCTGCGTGAGCAAGGCCAAGGAGTTGCTCACTGCCGCTCGGGGCGCAGAGCGGGCAGCGCAGATGAAGTTGAAGGCGGCGGAGTTCGACGCCGAGAAGGCCCACAAGGACCTGCAGCACGCCCAGCCCTCTCAGCCAGATGCAGCAGATGAGTGAGTTCTGCGCGTGCACCAAGCCCCCAGCTGCTGCAGCACCGCAGCCAGGGCCCAAGACAGGCCCCTGGGCTGAAGGCATCACAGACAGCGGCGAAGAGGGCGACCATATCAGCAGCATCGCCAACGACCCGTACTACGAGAGCGGGTACATGGACGACTGCCAGCCAGGCGACGCCGTCTTGTCCGGCGCCTCCAGCAGTGCCACAGCGCGGGCGAGGAATCAGAGCCGCGTGGCAGCGATGGAGACGCATATCGGCGAGATGCCTCAGCGCATGGCACAGCTCATGGCCGTCCTGGAGCAGACCAAGGGCATGCCAGCGGCAGCGCAGCCGCCAGCTGCTGTCGCGGCCGATGGGCCCCAGGGCACTGGAGGTGATGACGCAGCCAAGGCAGCCAATCAGGAGGCCAAGAAGAAGGCCGCAGAGGAGGCCAGGGCCAGGGCAGCAGCGGCCAGGGCGCAGATGCAGAGTATGTTCCAGTCTGGAAGGCGCGCAGCAGAAGACGAGGAGCGAAGCAAGATCCGCAGCCGCAGCCCGGTGGACAAGGGAGATGCGGGAGCTGCAGCGTCATCGGCAGGAGGGGCGGCAGCCTTTGGCGCGGCCGCAGAGGCCGAGGATGACGCGCAGCTTTGACGGTTGCGGGGCCCCGCCGCAGCCATCGCGGCCTGCGACGACGCGGGCGGGATCCCTGCACCGCAGGCAGCACCGCTGCCAGCTCTTCCTCACCAAGGGCGGCCCGCTCGTACAGTGCCGCTGCCAGACGGCCGTGCGCTGCGAGCGCTGCGAGCGGCGTGGCCTTTCCAGCTTGCCGAGCTCGAAGGCGGGCTCAGCCTCGAGCAGTAATTTCACTCGGCCACGCAGTGTTGCTGATTGCAGACTGCCGAGCCGACCGGCCGCCGCAGACGCCGCTGCGGCACGAGCGCTTCGACATCTACGCGGATGGCTCAGGAGGCGCCGCAAGAGGAGAGATCCCAGGGCCACCGTCCTGGACTTTTGTTGTCGTCGCCACGGGCGCGCAGGGGAGGTGCTCTGTGCTCGGGCATCTCGGGCAGGCCATGCCGGGGCTTGCAGATCTCTTCCGCCAGCCCTCAGTTGCGGCCGAGCTCTGCGCGGGGATAGCGGCAGTGCTCTGGCCGCTGCAGCTGCGCCGCGCCCTCGGAGTGGAGGGCGAGGAGGGCTTCCCGCAGATCGTCGTGCACGCCGACTGCCAGTGCGTTGTGGACATCGCGCAAGGAGGCGCGTCGCTGGCCACCTGCAGGCCGCGCGTCATCGCCCTCGACGGCCTCGCGAAGGTCCTGAGGCGCATCGCCGTCTACGACTGGAAGCGCGCGCCAGGCCGCATGGCCGACGGGTGGAACGAGGTCGCGGACGCCATCGCGACGCTCGCCAGGGACGGCATCATAGATGCCCAGTGCAGCGACCAGTTCTGGGACCAGCTGCTCGCCCACCTCCAGGAGGTCTTGTGGCTTTGGCTAGCGGCTGCCCTCCCCCCCCGCATCAGCTCTCAGTTCCCTTCCCCTGGAGGTGGGGCTCCCAAGTTGGATCCCTCGGTCCGCAGGCTAAGGCAGGTTCTCGAGGGCCGACTGCTCGGGGCCCCTGCAGGGGGGAGAAGGGGGGCAGCCGCCGGCCAGCATAGCGCTCAAGCTCGCCGTGACCAATGCCCTCACGCTCGACCCCACCACGGAGCGAGAAGGCAAATCTAGCGCCTTCGCAGGGGTGATGCTGCCAAGCAGGGTGCGCATACTGGCCCGCAAGTTCGGCCTCTACGGGCGCCACTTCGTCGGCGCCCAGGAGACGGGGGCCCTGGGGGACTCCCTGACCAGAGTCGGCGACTATCGCATCTACCATGCCGCCGCCGCGGCAGAGGGCCGGCTCGGGGTCTCCATCCGGGTCAACATCAGGACAGTTTTTGCGGAGGGCACGCAGGTCAGCGACAGCGGCGCGGCCGTCCTGCGCGCGGATCCACGCGGGCTCCTGGCCAGCATCAGGTCCGCAAGTCTCGACGTCGACATGTTCGTCGGCCGTGCCCTGCACGGCGGAGCACTTCCTGCCGTCTGTAAAGAATGGTGGCAGACTACGGAGAAACTACGGAAGACGAGGCCATCGCCCCCCACGAGACTGGGTGCGTCTCATGGACGCCGGCGCGAGGGTCGGCAGCAATGGCGCGGAGGCCATCGGGCACTACGGCGCATTGGCGCGGAGGCCATCGGCGCAGGTGCATGCCTGCGCGGCTTCACCTCGGAGGTCCGCGTCTGCCTCCGAAGCGCGCCCCTACCTTCCAGAGGTAACAAGTGCACCGCGTGGAGCTGCACGGCCCAAGGTTGGCATGCGTAGGGAGCGCAGGCTGGGCCACATTGCCATCTCGCCGCAGATGCTCGCCGGAGTGCAAGATCAGGGGATCAACCCACCAGGACCACGAGCTGGTGGACCTCGCTGTTGCGCTGGAGACGGACGCTGAACAGCCGGGCCCGCAGCGGCATGGCATGGGGATTGACAAGGCGAAGCACGACCTGCCAGCACGCCGCGAGCACATCGAGCAGCTGCTGCAACAGCAACCAGATGCGCCGCTACACCTGCGCCCCAATGACCACGCAGAGGCGCTAGATGAAGAAATTCGAGCGGCAGCGGCACAAGCGTTCCCCGAGGAGCCGAAGCCGCCACAAAGCGCGTGGGCATCAACGGCCTCGGGGGACCTGTGCCAGCGCAGGCGAGCACATCAATGGCGAGCGCGACGCACCCATGCTAAAGCCAGGCACGTGCTGATGCCAGTGCTGTTCGCCGCCTGGGCACGCGCGCCGAAGTGCGAGCCGCGGCGCAACAATCGGACATGCCAGGACAATGTCGACACCAGAGAGGCGACAAAGTGCGCCGAGGCCATGCCCCCGCTGCTCGGGATGCTGAGAAGCTTCGTGGGGCTGCTAGACACCGCGGCGAAGGTGCCCCAGTCTCAGTTCCCGCGGCCACATCGTCACCGACGAGCCGCCGAGCTCCCAGCCGAAGAAGCTGCACCTGCGAGGGGGGCCGTCCTCGTCGACGCGCAGGGCCGCGACAGTCGGTCCACGCCCGTGACTACAACGGAGGCAGCAGATGCGCACTTCCAGCTGGTTCAGGAGGTAGAGGACCTCTTCGGCGATATCTTCGAGGACGCGCAGTGCGCGCCAACGGCGCCCGGTGCGACGGCGCGGACATCAAAACGGGAGAGGATCACCATGCCCCCCCTTAGGGGCCGAAACAAAGTTGATGATCCTCTCGGCTGCGCCGGGGCCGCCGACGCAGGCGACGCGGAGGAGGGGCCCGTCGAGCACGACCTGGCGCTAGACGAGGAGGTCTCGGCAGAGGGGGCGCTGGGGGACGCCCTGCTACGTGGGGGTGTGGGCGCTGCGGGTCGATCCGTGCGGGAGATCGGCTTGACCTCGCGCGAACCGCCGATCCCAAAGCGGCTCTCGCCGAAGCCCCGCGCCGACGCAGCATGGGGAGGCGCCGGCGCCAGAAAGCAAGCCCCAGCCCCCAGCAGCACCCACGAGGTAAACAGCGAGAGGGGGCGGGCTCAGTCGCCAAGTTCATTGCTGGAGCCCGCCCCCCGGTGCACCCACGAGGTGGTCAGCGCGCGGGGCAGGCCCGCCCCGACGGGAGAAGCAGGGGCGGGTGCGACCGTCGCTGGAGATGCCGCAGGTGGGCCACCAGTGGAGGCCGTGCACTACCAGCTGGATCAAGAGGCTGAGGGCCTCTTCGGCGACATCTTCGAGGACGCGCAGCGCGCTCCAGAGTCACGCGCAGTGTCTGCGGGCCCTCCGAGCGCCGCGGGCCTCGCCAGCGGGGCCGCAGACGGCGCGAGGAGCGGGGGGCGCGCCGTTGCTGGATGGGGCAGCGCGGGCAGGGCTGCGAGTGACACGAAGGGCGGCGTGTTGGGCAGGGCGGGGCGGGGAGCAGCTCGGCGAGCGCCCTATATAGCCCCCCCCCCTCCCCCCGAGCTAGGGCCCGAGCTCGGGGCAACCGCGCGACCGCTCCAAGAGGAGGACACCAGCGAGGATCAGCGTGCTGGAGGAGCGAAGTGGAGTCTCGCGCAGATTCCACGCCCACTGCTACGACCGCCGCGACGACCGCGGCACCCTTGAATGCGTCGACACAGGCGGCGAAGTACGCCGGGCGGGCGCTCGACGCTCTGCGAGCCCGTCCCTATGTGAGGCCCCGTTACAGGGGGTGGCCGATGCCCTCGCTGCCCAGGCGGCAGCCGGAGGTTCGAGCGCCCCGCTCGCCCCAGCCGCCCCCGCAGCCCTCCGCCGTCAAGGGGGCGCCAACCAGTGCTCAGAGGGCAACAAGCCGCTTGGGCAAGAGCCAGGCGACATCTGCGACTCACCGGACGAGCTGCCAGAGATGATCTCAAGGAGATGCAGGCAGTTTTCCGACGAAACGGAAGACCAGGCCAGCATCTGGATCTACGATTTCAGGGATGCCCATGCCAGTGCGCACTCTTGGAAGTCATGGTACATGCCCTGCATCATGCGGCGCCTGAGGCAGGACAATGAGCTGCTGCTTAGAGTCTAGGAAGGACGAGACGCAGGCATCGAGAGGGCCATCCGGCGCATCGCCGAGGCCATCTGCGGCGACGCGCGGGGCGAGTCAAGAGACGGGCGCGAAGAGCGCCCGCGATGGATCCACTGGCAGGATCGGCAAGATGAGCGCGCCAAGCGAGACAGGCTGGTTGCCGAACGCCGGCGCAGCCTCGCCCAGGAGGAGAAGAATATGGGGGGCGCAGGAGGGAGCAAGACGTCGCGCCCCCATGTGACCAGCTTGAGGCGCGGCATCCAGCGCACGAGCTATACAGCCAGCGAGTCGAAGGAGTGCTGGATGGGTGGGCATACTTCGACAACGGCTGGACGTAGCAGGTAGTAAGCCAGGAGTGGATCCTCCACGATATGCCAGCCAAGAAGTAGACAAGAAGGGCGCAGACCCAAGAGCTGGGCCAAGTGGCGTCATGGCCCGAGGGGCACAACGCTGCCTCGACGACCCCGACCACGACCTGTTCGACGAGTTTGACCACGACTGCCAAGGCTCGCCTAGCAACGTCCTGCCGAGGCCAGGAGCGCCAGCCACGGTGCTCCTCGAGCCGTGTGCTGGCATGGGCCCTGCCACGCCAGGCGCAAGCCAGAGGAAAAGGCGCACGTGCTCACAACAGCCAGCTACGTACGACCTAGGAGGACAGCTGTTCAAGCAGGTGGTGGCCATCATGCCTGCGAGGGCCATCTTGCACGTGCGACACGAGTGCGACGGCGACTGGACCACCCTGCTTCCGACCATGTTCGGCATCGCCTCGCGGCTGCAGAATGTCGCCACCGCGCTAAGCGACAGGGGATGGAAGCTGATGCTGAAGACCATCCAGACCGCGCTCAGAAGCGACGCCAACGACCATTACCGGCGTATCGCCGCGGAAGTCAGCGACGCATGGAGCCAGATGCACACCGGGAAGGCCTTGGCGAGGCTCCGAGGCCTGGGCGTAGGATCGCCCAAGAAGTTGATGATGGCCACGCCGCCGCAAATTAGGAAGCTTAACGGCGGCGTGGCAGTCAATCTCCGATAGATGGGAGACAGGCGGCTGCCGCACTTCGCTTTAGTCGAGTTCGCAGCAGACGTGCCACTACAGAAGCTGGAGAGGTACGACGACTTCTTCAGAGCGCTGCCCAGGGCCCCAGGACTACGATCTCCTCGAGGACTGCATCCTCTCGATCAATGAGATAGAGAGAGCCCTTCGACTCACGGATGACTCAGCGGCAGGAGTAGACGGTATCCCAGGCCTGCTGTGCAAAAGATTCGCAGGTCCGCTGGCCAAGGCAAACATGCCTTTGGTGGTAAAGTACGCAATCACGGGCATCGAACCAGCATAGTGGAAGGGGGTATACTACAGGCTACACCACAATAATCACGAGATCGCCAATTGCTCGATACACAGGAGCTTCGCGGTCACGGCAGCCATGGGCAAGCCGGTGAGGCATTGCATGAGAACGAGGCTTGCCCCGGCGATGCCTGCCAGCAGTAGTGGGGCCACGGCAGCTCGGAGGCATCAAGTGCAGAGGTACGCAGCGCGCCATCATGCTGCTGCGGTCACTGCAGGCCTCAGCCGATCAGCAGAGTCTCACGTTCGGGGCCTTCTGCCTAGACGCCAGGAGCGCGTTCTACTTGCCACTGCGGGAACTCATTCTGGATGCCAACATGTCGCGCGGAAGCGCCGACGAGATCGCCAACTCCAGGGGCGCCAGTTGCAGCGATGCAACCGCTCAAGCAGAGGCTGCCAGCGGCCAGGGATTCTAGCTCGCAGTGGCATCGCAGGGCACCTGCGAGCACTGATCGCTGAGCAGTGCCGTGCCTCTTGGTTTGTTTGCGAGGGCTCGGACCGCGTCGGCCTAGGCACGAAGTCGTCCATCCCAGGCCTGCCGCTGGCGGACCAGATCCACGAGGTAGCCATGGGGGGGGGGTCATGCGCGTCGTCGAGGCCTGGCTCGCACAACATGCGCTAGGAGTCTTCATCCCTGGGGCAGAGGCGCGCTCGATCGCCGGCCAGTTCGAGGACGACGACTCTTGGGCCGACATCCCGGCCTGCAGCATCGCGTTCGCTGATGACGGCGCCTCCTTCTATTTGGGCAGAGCGGAGGGCACGGTGGCCGCGCTCGAGCTGATGGGAGGGGTCGTCCTCGACGTCATCGCAGAGTACGGCCTCCAGCTCAACCTGGGCGCAGGCAAGTCAGAGGCCTTCCTGGCCTTCGAAGGGGCAGGCTCTGGGGAGTCCAAGCGTGCGTAGGCTGTGGCGCGATCAGAGAGGCCAGCTACAGCTTGTCTCGAGATACTGCCGAGCGCCCCAACCTTAGCGTCGTCACCACGCGCGTGCAGCTCGGCACAGTTGTCGACGACCACCGGGCCATGTGCCCCGCGCTCTACCGACGGGCGCGGACCGCGGCGCGCCAACTACAACGCTTTCGGCGCAAGGATTGTGTAGGCGACCAACTACCATTCAAAGTCCGCATGATCTTTGCGGACTCTCTTACCATGGGCTCCAGATGCTCCTCAGCGGGCAGCTGGGGCCGTCTATCGGCAGCAGAGCACAACTACGCGCGCGGCATGGTGGCGTCCGTGTACAGGGCGGCCACTCGCAGCTCACCAGTCATGCGCAGCCAAGAGGGGGACGAGGAGCTCGAGAAAGTCCCAGATGCAGAGGGCGGCTATGTGCTCATGAAAGCAGGGAGAGCACGCCCAGTCTACTTATTTCGAGTAGGGGGGCTGCGTCTCTTCGGCGAACTGCTGCAGCCAGGCCCAGTCGCAGTCTCCGCGCTGATGGCCAGTCTACGCCCAGGCTCCGCGCTGATGGCCAAGCTACTGACCGCAGCGAAGCAACTTGTCCAAGAAGCTCATCGAAAACATGGTCTGGGCGCAGCAGTACACCCACTCCCCCGAGGCCCCATCGGACCCAGGCGAGGACATCTGCCCGTGGGAACAACGCATCAGAGCCTCACGCGCCAGCTGGAAGCTGAGGACCTCTGCAGGCGCACCATAGCAGCTGCGGCAGCCAGTCGGTTCTTCGCAGAGACGCAAGTGGCAGTTGCACCATGGTCGAGGAGGCCAGGCAGCCCACGTGAACCGCCGCAGCCTGCGCGCCAGCGAGAGGACGGCGGCAAGTGGACATGCCCATGGTGCGCGACAATCTTCACACGACAGAGAGGGCTACGAGTGCGCATTGCACGCAAACGCTGGCTTATGACAGCCCTGGCCAGGAGATGGATGCGAGGTGTGAGCCAGCGCCAGATTTGCATGGTGCAATTTCAGCGGCCGCGCCATCTGCTTGAACACCAAGCAGTCGCATCGCCCATATGCCTTCTGCTCACCATTAAGGGCAGTATGCCGGCAGCCGACGACGACAAGTTATCCGACCCACCCCTGTCCAAAGAGGGGTCGCGCAAGAGAGTGGACATACCAACAGCGCGAGCAGCAGGGCCATCCACGGAGGAGACGGACAAGTTGAGGACCAGCTTCCACGATTGGCAGGCCAAGCAGATCTTCCTGGAGTGCGACTATGCCCTGGACGAAGAGGCCAAGTTCGCGCTGCAGGCCCCACATGCTGGGCCAGTTCAAGACGAACGACTACAGGGGCATCTCCACTGTAGCGGCGCCTTGGCGGATCAGGAGTGCGGAAGTACTCGCCCTGAACATGCGTTGCGGTGTCCGACGGCGCGGAGACATCCAGGACTGCCCCTTCAGTGTCGCGGCGCACGAGGAGGTCGGCGCAGTCGCGGCGGTCGCAGCGCTGAGCATCGTCGCGGCGATCGACGCGGAGCGCGGCGACCTGATGAAGTCGAAGAACCTGGGCATTTTCAACGGCGCGATCTATTCGAGGCAGGTCATCCTGAGCGGTGGCGGGACATCCTGCGAGACGCGGAGCGCGGCCCGCTGGTCGAACATGCTTGGGCCGCCGCCGCTCAGGACCCATGGCGGGTACTGGGGCATCCAGACAGCCACAAACCGCCAGCGGCTCCAGCTCATGGTCGGCAACTCCCTGCTGCAGGCGATGGCGATGCTGATGTGGGCGCACCTGCGAGTTGGCTCAGCGGCCTGGGTGGATCACCCAATCCCAGCGCGCTGGCTGCGCGAAGCGGTCACGAGCTGGACATGGGAACCGCTCCCGGCGCTGCAGAGCTGCCAGGTCGTGACCAACACCGACTTCGACCAGTGCGAGCGCGGGGGCGATGTCGGGCGCGCGCCGACGCGCATCGTCGGCCTCCGAGTGGGAGGCCTGCACGCACGCCTCACGGCGACGCCTGGACGAGGGCGCCGCTCGCACGGGCGAGGAGCGCACGCCGCCCTCCTCGGGACAAACAGAGGAGGGAGTTTTCCGCACCGCGGCCAAGAAGGTCTACCCTGCGGGCCTCTGCAAGGCTCTGGCTAACGCCATGATCGACGCGGTGTCGGTATTCGTGTCCTCTGAGATCGGCTCTACCGAGCCGGAAGGAGAAGGGCGTCCCGAGGTGAACGGTCACAGGGATTTTTTCGTGGGGTCGGTTCAGGAGGAAGGAGGGCCTAGAGTGGGCACCGGACTTCAGTCGGCGCGCCCGGAGCTTTCGGCCCGATCCCGAGCGGCATCGGTTCCATCGGTCTGAGGTGCGAGCCGTGGCGCTGCCATGCCCCCCCTGCGAGGAACCCGACAGCAGGGGCCCCTGTCCGACCCCCGACCCCTTTGAAGACCTCACCCAAAAGGACGTTTTCGTTGCCGCTGTTGGCCTCGAGTCCCCCTCGGCCCCTTTTTCCGTGCCTCCGCCTCCTCTCCCTGCCCCTCCCGCTCCCCTGACCGAGCAGCAGCGCGAACGAATCCCGAGGAGCCGTGACGAAACGACCCAGAGGAGGCACCTCAGGAGGGCCCCGTGGATTGCTCAGTCCAATGTTCGGTTCAACTTTTAACTTTCGGGGGCCCTTTCATAAGATGAGGGCGCTCTTTGCCTTGGCGCAGGGGTGCGGCGAGGTTTGACTTTCGGCATACGCTACAGCAGCGTTGAAGCCCGTGCCCACCCCCCCTCCTCCCCCTCTTCTCCCCTCCCTCCGCCTTTTCCTCGTTCCCCTCGTCCTCACGCTGCTTCCCTCGAGTTCTCTTCGCTCGTCCGACCACGGCGGCGGCGGCGACGGCGAGTACGCTCGGCCTGTCGGCGGCGGCGGCGCGGCCCCCCACGGCGCGCGCCGAGGCTCGCCGAGGGCCTCGCCGTCGGAACGCCGCCTGGCGGGGGGCTTGGTCCGCCTCCCAAGTTTGCGCAGCGTTGGCCGGCCGTGGCGTCGTGGGCCTCCTCCGTCCTCGTGCCCTCATTGTGGTCACGGGTTCGCTGCGCAGCATTCGTTGGCCTTGCAGTTGCCGCGATCTGCATCGGACGGTGAAGGCCTCTGGTATACAGTACATGGTCCAGGTCTGGGCACCCCCTCCACCCTGCTGACGGCATCGAGCCCCCCCCACCCCCATGATGGGTACCCTCCCGCCCCCCCCTTTGGGTGTGGTCTGGTGCTGTGGGTGTGGCGTGTGTGGCGTGGTATTGTGGTGCTCCAGGAGAGCTCCAGAGGTCGTCGTCGTCGTCGTCGCCGCCGCCCGCCGTCGTCGTCGCTGTCGGTCGTCGTCGGAGGGCTCTGGAGGTCGGCGGCGCCGCCGCCGCCGTCGTCGCCGCCGCCGCCGTCGTCGTCGTCGCCGTCGTCGTCGTCGTCGTCGTCGTCGTCGTCGTCGTCGTCGTCGTCGCCGTTGTCTTTGCGTCGTCGTCGTCGTCTTTGCGTCGTCGTCGTCGTTGCCGTCGTCGTCGTCGTCGTCGCAGTCGCCGCCGTCGTCGCCGTCGCCGCCCTCGTCGTCCTCGTCGTCGTCGTCGTCGTCGTCGTCGTCGTCGTCGTCGTCGTCGTCGTCGTCCCCCCCCATCCCATGTGCGGGGGGGCCGTGAAGTCCTGGGCCCCATCCCATCTGGGGGGGGCCGTGGGCCCTCGGCCCGGATCATATAGGCCCAGTGGGTGTGCGCAGTAAGCCTGCGGCCGCGCATGCATTTGTCATGTTTGTCTTGGTCCTCTGGCAGCATGCACGGGTGATGACGTCCTGATGCGACCTCCAATTCGTTGTTTAGTTTTTGTTCTATGGTGTTCCCTACCCGCTTGCGTTGGGTAGTGGTTTTGAATAGGGCGCTGCTGGTCCTCGCCTTTTGACGTCTTTTCTCGCCTTATCCCCATCTTGCTCCCTCCTATCTCGCCTCCTCCTGCCTTTGCCACTCCTGCCTCGAGCCTGGTCCTCTTGGGTGGTGCCTACTGCCCCCTCCCAGCCCGGACCTCGCCTCCTGCCTCGCCCGCGGTGAGAGTCGGCACCCTCGTGGGTTCTTCGGGATCTGCGGCGTGTTGACAGGCGGCGTCTCCGCCGCCCGCGTTCAACGCTGGCGCCGCCGGCAACCCAAAACCGGTTGATGTTGAAGGATCCCCGCAGTGTCAGGAACCAGCGCCGATGTCGGCACGACTCGAGCTTGCCGTTTTCACATCCCTTGGCGCTGCCAACTGCACAGCTTGCGGCACTTTCTTCGAGGACTCCCAGGGGGTTCAGCGGAGTGCGGTGCTGCGCAGATCGAATATATTTCTCCCCTATCTGGGCGCTGCCGACTGAGGAGTTGTCGGCACTTTCGTGGGATCCTGGGCGGTCCGACAGCGTGCGGTGCTACCAGTCTATCGTCACCCTGGGTTCACTTTCTCGGCTGCCTGTTCGGCACCCACCTCGTGTTCATGGTGCCGCCCCGCCACTTCGCGCCATTTTGGCCGCGCTGAGTCTCGCTCCACCCTGGGCGTCGCTCGTTGCTCAATTTTCCCTTCGCAGGTGGCACAGCCTGCCCCTGCTTGCCCGGCGTCCGACCCGCTTCGCGCGCCTGCGTACCAAAACGTATCCCCACCAGCCCGCCCTCCTCCTCCCCTCCATTTCCTCGCCTGGGGTCCACCTGCACCTGCTTCCTCGATGCCTGCTCCCGTTGATGGGGGTTGCGCATCGCCTGTGGGGCAATCACTGCATCCTTTCTTCCTTTCTGTCTGCATTTGCAGCGATCAGCTGTCGCTCCCGTCCCTTCTTGTTCCCTGCATTTGCGGCGATCAGCCGCCTGTCCTACGTCTTGGCCTGGGGAACCGTCTGGCAGACCTCCTATGCACTGCTGGACCTGCCGCTGGATCTGGCAGCTGGCGGTTGGCGCGCCGCCAGAGCGCTGGCGCTGGCGGCGCCTTTCGTTTCCTCTACCTCGTGATGGCCGCACGGGTTGACGACGGCGGGGTTCGACATGGACGTGCTCCTGATCCTGCCAGGACCCCCTCATCCGCTCAAGGCGTCGGGCACGGTCTCCCTGGCGAAGTGCTTTGTGGGCCGATGGCCGCTGCGTCGTTGGCCGCCCGCCGCTCCCCGCGCTGGGTGCCCGCAGCGGTGGCGCTCTGCACCCTTTTGCACGGCTTCGTCGCGCCGGTCATTGCACTGCCTCCGGGTCTTGGCGCGCGGGGCGCCCTGACGCCTGGTCGCGTTGCTTGGCCGCTACCTCATGCTTGCCTTCCTGGGGCATAGTTGGTCTTATGCATCTACGCGAAGGGGTACCTTCTGCGGCGTTTGAAGTTCGTCCTCCTCGTGACAGTCTACATCGCCCTGTCGGATGCACTCCCTGGGGGATGTCCCGGGGCGGCCGTGCTCTCCCCTGGTCCTCGTCACGGAGGTGGTCATTGCCCACAGTGGGCCTGGGCCTTCCGGTTGTTCCTGCGTTTCATTGCAACGATTTCGTGTTCAATAAATTGGGTCTGGCGTTTGCCTTCGTCGCCGCCTTCTGGGTAAGTGTGGCGTTCCGGTCACCCTACCCCGACATCGTGGACATGGCATTCCTCGGCACTTTCCTCGCGCTTCTCGTGCCCTTCGACACCCTCGCACCATTTTGGTCGCCTGAGCTCCGCCCCGCACCGGACTTTGCTCGTCGCTTTTCCGCAGCCTGTGGCGCAGCCTGCCCCTGCCAGCCTGGCGTTCGACCCGTTTCGCGCGCCCGCGGACCAAAACTATCCCCACCAGCCCGTCCAGAGACGATGTCCAGGGTGATCGAGGAATTGGGGGAGCATGCGGAATAACAATAGGCGGTGGAAGCCGTCCGAGGTGGGGGAGGGAGAGGAGAGGGGGGAGGAGGAGGAGTAGGCGGATAAGGAGGAGGAGAAGGAGGAGGAGGAAGAGGAGGAGGAGGAGGAAAATGAGGAGGAGGAGGAGGAGGAAAAAGGACGAACCTAAGATCGTTTTTCGGATGTCTCTTAGGAGTTGTTTTGGAGGTATTTTGGAACGTCTGGGGGGCATTTTGGGTGCTTCGGGGATCCTCTGGAAGCCTCTTAGGGGCCTCTTGGAAACCTTTTGGAGGCATTTTAGGCGCATCTGAGCCGTCTGGGCGCCTCTCGGGGCCCTCTTGGGGAGCTCTTGGGTGCGTTGGGAGCGCTCTTCGGGCCATCTTGGAGGACATCGATCAAACAATGGGGGGGTCCCTGATTATGGCTGCCGCTCTACAGTGCCAACAATCGCCTCCTTCGGCGCCCTTGGGACGCTCTTGGGCGCTCTGGCGGCCGTGTTGGGGCTCTTTTGGGCCCCTCTTGGGGCCCACCTGGGCCCTCTTGGAGCCATCTCGAGGCTTCGGAAGGCCATCGGAATCGAGAAGGCGAGAACGCAAAACACATTGATTGTCCTCGGGTTTGGGGAGGATGTTGGCCTCATCGGGGCCTCCAGGGGAAGCTCTTTGGCCACTTGGAGCCGTCTTGGAGCGGTCTTAGGGCCTCTTGGAGCATCTTGGGAGCCATCTTGAAGAATTTTGGGGTATCTCGAGTCATCTTGGAGTTCATGTTGGGCCATCTTGGACGCTCCAACCTCACGCGGGAAGCCCCGTCCAGGTCCAGGGGTGGGGGTCGGAGGAGGGGTCAAGACACCCACCCGCCCGCAAACCGTCGAGTTCACTCCCATTTGCCCTCCCTACGCATAAGTAACACCCGAGCCTGAGCACGTTCAGCGGTCGTCTTTGGATGGCCAGCTACTTGGGACCAAAACAAATCCCATGTGCGCGACGCTGGGGCGAGGTGCGCCACGCGTGCCATGGGCGCCACGCTCGCCAGGCACCCTTGGGGCCCGAGCGTGTCAGGCAGCTTGGTGCGCCAGATGCGCCATGTGCTCCGCGTGCGCCAGGTGTGCCGCACACGCCAGCTGCGCCAGGTGCGCCGCGTTCGGGACACGTGCAGAATGCGTCAGGTGCGGCTGCGCGCGTGACAGCACACATCGGAAAACATGCGGCCCCCGCCATCGTTTTCGAAAACCGTTGCTCATCATTGTGTTTGGTAGGCTTGCGCACAGCAGTCCACGTGTCACCACCCCCGCCGTCCCTGTCAAACATCTTGACCGTGATCGTGGGGTGGCCGTGCATGATCCAGATTTCGCCGAGCGGTGCATGCTGTATGTTTTTGTCAGGGATGGTCGCCTTGCGCACAGCAGGGGGTATGCTGACACCCCCGCCGTCCTTGCCGAAAACAATGCGAGGTGCTCGCGTGCTTCACGAACACGGCTCAAACTATTTTGCTCCAACTTGTATTTTGCATTGTTTTTTATTGGGATGGTGAGGGGGGGGGCACCGGGCTGGCCGCGCATGCTCCAAATGTGGAGGCAGAGTGCGGTTTGTATGGTTTTTTGGACAGGGGTGCTGCGGGGCGGGTGGTCATGGCATGGTGCCTGGTTGGCCCTTGGTCGCTTGGGGGACGGGGTGGACATTAATACGTGACAGTGATCAAGACACCCCCTTGATAGCAAGCCGTCTAGCTGACTCCCACCCGCCCTCCCAACACATACGTAACACCCGAGCCTGAGCCTGTTCAACGGTCGTCTTTGGATGGACAGCTACTTGGAACCAAAACCGACCCCATGTGCGCGACGCTGGGGCGAGATGCGCCACGCGTGCCAGGCGCGCCACGTGCGCCAGGTATCCCTGGGGCCCGAGCGTGCCAGGCACGCCTGGTGCGCCAGATGCGCCACGTGCTCCGCGTGCGCCAGGTGTGCCGCACACTCTAGCCGCGCCAGGTGCGCTGCATTCGGGGCACGTGCAGAGTGCGTCAGGTGCGCTTGCGCACGTGACAGCACACATCGGGAAACATGCGGGCCCCCACCACACCTATCGAAAAACAGTGCCCATGATTGTGTCAGGTGGACCAGCGCACAGCAGGCCATACGCCACCATCCCCGCCGTCCCTGTCAAAAACCACTTGACAGTGATCGCGGGGTGGCCGCGCATGATCCAGATTTGGCCGCGAGGTGCATGTTGTATTGTTTTTTAGGGACGGTAGCCCGCGCACAGCAGGCAATATGCTGACGCCCCCGCCGTCCTTGTCCAAAACAATACGAAGTGGTCGCGTGCTTCACGAACATGGCTCAAAAGATTTTGCCCCCAAGTGTATGTTGTATTGTTGTTTGACAGGGATGGTGCGGGGGGCGCGTCGGGTTGGCCGCGCATGCTCCAAATATGGAGGTATAACGCGTTTTGTATTGTTTGTTCGGAGGGATGGTGAGGGGGGCCTGCGTGGTTCCTGGTTGGCTACCGGTCGCCTGGGGGAGGGGGTGTGGTGTTTAATAATAGGGAGCACTGGTAAACCCCTCCCCGATGGGGAAGAGGGACAGATGGAAGACAAAACACCCTAGACCACCTACGGCCTAAAGGGCTGGTGGGGTTGCCTGCGGCCCATCCCGCCACCGTGCCTGGGTTGTGGGAATGAAGCCTGCTGGATGTTCGTTGGGATCTCGTGGGCGGCCTCTCGGGAGTCTCTTGAAGGCAGTGAGGCCTCTTGGAGGGCCGTTAAGAAGCCTCTTGGAGCCTCTTTTGCGCTTCTTTGGGGCTCTTGTGAGCCTCTTGCGGGCCTCTTGGGGCCTCCTCGGCGCCTCTTGGGGCCTCCTGGGGGCCTCTTGGGGCGGAAGGCTCGGATTTTCGATTCGTGTTCCTTCTCTTGGGCCCCTTTGGGAGCCGTCTTGGGGCCCTCCTGGGCCGTTTTGGGCACCCCTTGGGCCGTCTTGAGGCCCTCTTGGGCCGTCTTGAGGGGCCTCTTGGGGCGCTCTTGGGCGCCTCCAGGGCCGTCTGGGAGCTTCGGGAAGCCGAAACGGCGAGAAGGCCAAACTCCTTGAACAACCCTAGGAACATCAATGCTGTTGGCCTCTTGGGGCCCTCTTGGGAGGCCTCTTGGAAGCCTCTTGGGGCGTCTCGGAGGCCTCTTGGGCCGTCTGGGGGCAATCTTGAGCGTCTTGGAGCGATCGTTCGGCGACTCGGGACCCTCTTGGACCGTCGTGGGAGGCCTCTCGAGGCTCTTTCGGTCAGTCTTGGGGCCCTCTTGGGCCCGAAGAAGTCACGCGACAAGATGAGGAGGAGCCCGGGGGGCACGCGCCAAGCCCTGGGACATTTGCGAGCGAGGGGTCGGGGGTGGTGAGTGAGAGGCTCAGAGGATTAGGCAGAGGACCCGTGGACACGCCCACTCCGTGCCCAGCGACACGGAGGCGGATTACTCCCCCTCCTGGGCGCTGCCGACTGCGCAACTGTCTGGGAAATTGTCTGCACATTCGCGGCCTCCTGGGTGGTTCAGCGAAGTGCGATGCTCCGCAAATCCCAGCTATTACTCCCCTTCGGAGCTGTCGGCACTTTCGTGAGCTCCTGAGCGATCCTGCGGAGTGCGGTGCTGCACGGATCCGAACTATTACTCCCCTCCTTTGGCGCTGCCAATTGTCTGAACTGTCGTGGGCTCCTGGGAAGTCCGCTGGAATGCAGTCCTAGGCATGCCCAACCTATTGTTCCCTTCCCTAGGCGCTACCAACCGCGGAGCTGTCGGCACTTTCGTGAACCTGGTGGGGGATCCGGCGGAGTGCGGTGTCCAACGGGTCCAGGCTATTGGACCTCCCCTTCCATGGACGCTGCAAACTGAGCGGCTGTCGCTAGTTTTGTCAAGTCCTGCGAGGTCCAGATGAGTGACGCTGTTTGCCAGCAGCAAGTTTGATTTCGGTGCCGCACCATATTTTTTTTGGGGGGGGCGCTCCACGTGTCTCTCGCAGAAGGGATGACCAGCCACGTGAAATTTCCGTTCGTCTTTGACGATTCCGTTGATATTTCCATTTGTTGCAGATGGATTGGTTACGCCATGTGGTAGATTATACAATTGGGAGCCCCGTTGATGTAATTTTGATTGTTCTGTGAAAACGTTGTTGGCACTATATATTGTTGAAGGGCCTGCATGTCAGGAACGTCTAAACTCAGTGAGCCTAGTGTCACTGCATGTCTGTGTGCTTTTCATAACACGTCTAGGGCGATCCATTTCCGTCAGCCCGTGCACGCGTATGCCATCGTATGACGTGTCGCTTCACTGCGTTAGAACTGCGGACGTCTCCGACCCTGCTATCTCGCCTGCCTCGCGCTGTATCTTTTCTTCGCCGCTCGTGGAGGCAAGTTGAGTTGCCTCGTCGCTGGAATGTCCGATCTTCTTCCCCTCGAGACACACTAGCGTGTGGGGCATCATCGAGGTTCTAGGCGCATTCGGATTGCTAAGGTAGCTTGAGCCTGTGGAAGCCTCCTTGGGGCTTGCTACATCAGGGCATGTGGCGATCTCTCAGAACAAGTTCGGAAGCAGGGCGGGCCCATACGCAAAGATGTTGCCGAATGGCTCTGGAAAGGGGGCCTGCACCACACGCATCCTTGGGCCCAGTGTGTCTGTAGATCTTTCATGTTGGGCTGATCTGGATTTTTTAAGGCCACCTTGAGTCACAACCAGCCGTTATGTTGGGATCGCGAAAGTTCCGGAGGTCTTCCTAGGCCACATTCAGCCGCTTCGGGCCCTCTTGACGACACCTGGGTCCGAATGACTTGGCTGAGTAAAGTGCACACGGTCGCGTGTCGTAGTAGTGCCCAGAGGGCAGAGAGCTGAGTTGGGCATCTGGGAGGGGGAGCAGCAGCAGCAGCAGCAGCTGTAGTCAACATGAATCCGTGCGCTCTCGGGCTGGCGTGCTTGCCGCGCTTGATGACCAGAGGCTCTTGGTACGGCAGCGGCCCCCTGCTGTGTGCCGCCTTGCTGATCCTGGAAGAGGCAGGGCACCCCATACCCGTTGTCGCTTCTTCTTTCTGCTTCGGAGGCGAGCTGGGCTCCCGCCCACACGTGACTGATCAGAGCGCCAGCGTCTCGAAACGATTTGGAATGCGATGGGACGTGAGGGGGAGCCTGATCTCGTTTTTGAGATAGCCATGCCGCTCGTGCCTACATCCATGGGTCTGATAATTTTGTAGGCTTCTCGTAAGTTATGATGCGCCCTACAGTCAAAGCCTGCGTTACGGGTGGGCCCTTTTCGCAAGGGCATCTTGCATCCTTCGGTTCTTATCACCCTTAGCAAGTTTTCGGCTTCCCTGGCCCAGCAGTCCCCTTCCCGATGCGCCCTGGCTCGCGGGGGGGTCATGGATGCTGCTCTGCTGGGGTCCCTTACACCCTGTTTTTTTGGGGGGAGGGGTGGTTGTTTTTTCCTTACAACAATGGCGCGTTCAAAGGGCCTTGCATCCTTAGCCTTCATCGCTGACTCTGATCGCACTTGTAGCAAATTCGGTCAATCATGCATTTCGTTGCCCGCGCCCTGAGAGCGGTTGCCACATTTACCAGTTTGGCAGGTGCCGAAGCGTTTCTTCCCAGGGCCAGCCAGCTCGAGACAAAAAGTAGGATCAGATGACTCCCGCATCGAGCAACTGTCCAGGCAAGGCTTCAATCAGTGAGGCTTGCAGGCATACGGAGAGATCGGTGGGGATCCGTTTGACTGTGACGCTTCTGTTGATCCCCGATGTGCCACGCCGGCGGCATGCGTACCGCTTAGAGGCCGAGGTAAGGAAGAGTTCAGGTTCGGAAGGGGCTCTCTGTTCCTCAGGTCCTTCCATGGCCGTTCATCTGGCGCTCCTCGCGCGCCTGGGCGCAGGGCACCCCTCACGAGGCCCAGAGGGTCCCAGGTCTCCAAAGCGTTGTGAACAACTGGGGACTCCTTCGGCCAGGGACACCTCCAGCAACCCCCGAGAGGTCGCTCTGCCATCGTGCGTGGGGCCCGTGCCCTCTTCGTCGCGCAGAGCGGGCCCGAGCCCGTTGTCCCGCCTCCTCCGACTCGCGCTCGCGATTGCTCGCCCTGCGCAGGGCCTGCGTTCGCCCCTGGAGCCGTGCGCACGCGGCGCGTCGTGCGCTGCTTTTTGGTTGATGACCATGGCCAGCGTGTGGCGGGGTCTTGTCGACCTGCGTTGCAGCTTTTCTTTCCCGCATTGCAGTTTTTGGTTTCTTGCTGACCCGGGTCTGGATTGACCCGCGTCAGAAGATCCCCGAAGGTTGGTCCACGAATTGACGATGACCAGGATGGACGATGACCAAAGTCGGCGGCGACGTTTCCGCGTTCAGTCTTGGTCATGGCCCTCGTTATCTTTCCCTTCAGAAAGATGCCATGCCAAGTGCCAACGAGCTGCTGTTCGCTCTCCGGCGTCCAAGCGACTCTAAGCCTCCTGGATGGGGTCGGAGTAGATGGGGTCGGAGAGTCGCAGTTCATCGCCGATGCATCGCCGACACGGCTCGATGTGGAGCCCGATTCTCTCCTCGCCGACGGTGCCGATGCATCGGTGACGACGCGGATGCATTGCCGATGCATCGGCGCCGACCCTATTCAGTCGATCCTGATTTGGACGGCCTCTATGTCCAGTCTCCAGCGTCCAGGCGACGCAGAATAGCTTTAAGGCAGGTGAACAAGGACCACCTCGGGTTCAGAAGGGGCTCTGGTTTGAGGGCGTTCCTCAGATCTAGGCCGGAGAACGTGAGAACGTGTTCGTGGCCGAGGTTCATTGTGGCCGAAATTTTTGCCGTTCCTTATTCGGCACGCCTCAGCGCAGCAGGATGATTGTATCCTCGTTGTGCTCCTGTGTTGGGGTGGGGTGGAGTGGGGTTGGTGGTGTAGGGTGGTGGTGTGGTGGGGTGCGGTGGGGGGTTAGGGCTTGAAAGGTCTTCGGAGCAGCGGGGATTGTGCAGACTTCTCTTGCGTATCTAATTGAACCTGCACGAGTTCGCCGGAGGAGTCGCGATGTGGCGTCAAATCTTGTTTTTCGCTCCCTCCCCCAGCCCCCTTCTCTCTCCTCTCTCTTTCTCTTTCTTTTTCTCTCGCCCTCATCCATTAACCTCTCCCCCAGCATCGCCCATTTTGGGTGAGGGGGGGCGCGGGGCTGGGAGCTTTTGGGTGCTATCAGTCCTAGAGTGCCGCCTTGCTAGTTGGAGGTGTCCACCCCGCCTTTTGGGGGTCTCCACCCGATTGCATGACAAATCCCAACCTGCCGGTACGAGACCCAACCAATCTGCATCGACTTCACCCCAACGATATCCCTTTGTGCATGCACTTAATCCAGAACGTAGTTCACAGGAGTTGCCAAGTTGGAATTGATGCCAACACGAGTGTTGTGGTTGCGGTTGCGCAAAGTTGTGTTTGGTGAAAGTTGCTACGCAATGCCAATCGATACTTTGTTACGCAGCGAGGTGCAGCCCAAGGCAATTCAACGAATAGTGCAACCGCAATGCGGTACGATGCAATGCGATAGCTAACGACGCAGAAGCCAAACACCGCAAGGCGTGCACAGCAACTTCACACAACGCAGCGGAGAACACTGCTATGCGCCGCTATGCAGAACCACATTAATATCAATGCCATGCAAGCCAATTGAGCGCTGCAGTACAAGAAGCTGCGCAACACAAGCGCATCTCAACCAGACATCAATGCAAACCAATGTGAAGCCAATGCGCAATGCAATGCACTGGTAATGCTGACGTATAGTGAACCATCGACGACTCAACGCCGAACGCAACGCAACGACAACGCAACAGTCATGAATCAACAGAGTTGCAATGAACACTCTTTAATCGGGGGGCGCCTGCGAGGCGTACCAGTCAAGCGTCGGGAGGGGCGCTCCGGCAACGAAGTGCTGCACAGGGGAGCCGGGCAGAGGAGAGAGGCGGGAAAGAAAGCTAGATCGAACCAGGGAAATCGTGAGCACGATCGAAATTAAGTCTCTGGCGAAACCGCGCCCAACAGTTAAACCATAAGGAAGTATCTGGCGAAAGCGGGGCCCAAACCAGGTCAAACCAGGGGAACCGTGAGGACGTATCATGCGAAACCGCGCCCAGACCAGGACAGACCAGCCAAATTGCGAGGAGGTCTCAAGCGAAGCCGCGCCCGAACCAAGACAAACCAGGCGCATTGTGAGGACGTCCCAGTCGGAACCGTGCTGAAACCAGGCCTTTCAAGCCAAAGTAAAGACGTGTCTGGCGAAACCGGCTGGCCCCAACCCAACCAGGGCCAACTTTTTGAAATTCTGTGGTTGTTTCAGGCGAGGCGCCCTGCCAAATCATACCAAGCCAGTGGCCAAGCCAGGCAAAATCTGATGATGTCAGGAGCGAACCGCTCCAAACCTGGCTCCACCCACTCTCCCTAACATAATTCGTAAGGGCTTACCCCTCTGCCGTTTGCCCCCGAAGGATGGAAGATATCAGAGCCGTGTCGGGGAGTCTGGGCGCCTTCTTGAAGACACCTGGGAATATCGTGCGGGGACGGATAGGAACCAGCAAAACATACTGAGATGTTTGAGCGTTCCCCTTGTGAGCGCGAATCTCGCGTAATTTGCAGAAAGGATGTTGGCCTCGGGAGCGGGAATTTTGAGTAATTTGCCAGGGATTCTGGCCATTGGTGTCCCAGGGCCCCCCAGAAATGGTGGCCAGGCTTGTTTTCGGTCCCCCCCTCCACTCGCGCGGACAGTACAATTTACAGTAGGAAGCAGGAAGTAGCACCATGGCATTGGAAATTGGAAACTGGAACTTGCGCAGGGCGCAGGAAACATCAGCCACGCAGCCTGATAGCCCTGCAAGGGGGCCAGTGGGTTAAGGAGTGGATGACCCGAAGGGTGCACGCCGCAGGTCGTTCTGCAATTCTGATTTTATGGGGTTCGGGTGCGCAATCGCACGGATGTTGCTGGGGCGCACCATCATGTTCTTGTCTTTGCTTGTTGTTCGGGCTTCGGCGTGGCGTTGACATAATCATTCCTCTGTCTGCAGTGTGGGAACATTTGCTATGCTTTACGGCGCTTTCTATCACATGGGGGTGCAAATTTGCATCATTTTTCGTACCTGGTTGTGCACTTACCGGTGCACTTCCTGTACTACCTGCTCTGCTGCGGCACACCCCGAAGTATTTCACACTCTGAGGGCCCCTCCTTCACGCGCAGCTTCTCCCTCGTTTTCCTGGTCCTCCCGTCTCCCGTTTGTGCTTTGATTTGCTTCGTTGCGCCCGACCACCGCCTTACCCCTGCTTGGATCCAAGCGACCGTTGGCAACAATAATGCATGACCTTCAGAAGCCCCTGCGGCGCAGGGGGGAGCCGCGTGCCACACTGGTAAGAAAACCTGAGCACACAGTCCGTGCAGCCCGCGCGGCTCAGCACACCACAGATCGGCGGTGAGCTCAGGGGTAATGCAGACAGGGCGGGCCTTCTCAGGAGGGGCGGAAGGGAAGATCTACGCTGTCTGGCAGTTTCGTCGGTTCCTGAAGGTTTTCCAGCCTCGGGGTGCTTTCCAGCAGTTGCGTCTCGCCGAGAGCGTTTCAGGGGTGCCCAGCGGCGCGCCCGGGGGGAAAGGCAGAGGGGGCCGGCCTTCTCAGAGGGCTCGGAAGGCCTTCTCCGGAGACTGAGACGGCCTCTGGGAGGCCAGAGGGCTCTGAGAAGTCCCGCCGCCCTCTGAGACGGCTTGTCCCCCCCTCGCTTTCCCTTTGGGCGCGCCGCCGAGCAGGGACCACAGCCGGGCTGCGCCGAGCACAGCCGCAGACACCGTGAAATCTGGACTTCGCCAGGCGACTCCGCTAAGTACCACTGCCCCCCGGCGATATCGACTGCGCCGACCAGGGTGATGGTTTCGAGCAAAAATGCGCAACGGGAGGGGGCAAGTGAGAAGGATGAGGAGCGGGCAGACCGAGGGACGGTCTAGAGCGCCGACATCGCCAGGCGCTTGAAGGATTCCCAAGACATCCCTCGGATTTCTTGAGGGTGGCATCGTAAAGCCTCAGGGTTTTCAAATACATGTTCAGGATTCCCATGAGGACCCCACACCCCTCACGATTCCCATGAACCCCTAAGGATTCCCAATTCATCCACAGGATGCACTTAAGAATCCCAAGACGTGCTTCAGACGCCTAAGGGATCCTCATGATTTCCCACGGGATTGCTTCAGGATGCCTATGCGTTTCGCCATCCCCACAGGAACCTTGGGTATGTCTTGCGGATTCCAGGCGGAATTCTCGATGCATTCTCAGGATGTCGTGGGACCTCCTCTGGGATCTCTCAAGGCATATCAGGATTAGAGTTAGATGCTGCACTCGGTTTTCTGAAGGTGTCAAGTCGTCCTAGGGAAACCCTCGGGAATCCCAAGGATATATGAATCAGTAAGCGTTTCAGTAACGCGATGCAGCAGTATCTCACAGTTTGAAATTGGTATAAGCTTTTTGGCTTGTGCCCCGAAGCGGTTGGGATTCGACCATGTCGGTTGGAAACCGTTCCGTATTCGTCCCCCCCCCTCTTGGGCGGGCGCAATTTTTGGAATCCATGCGGGGCTTGGGGCATTTCTTGCCCTTTCTCAACAAGTCTCTAAGTCTCTGTCTTCCTCACCCATTTCTGCGCCGTGTATCTGCCAGGCTGACGATGAGGCGCTGTGGCTGCGGCTCCCAAGGGGGAAATTGGGAGATATATTCTGAGGGTGGACGGAGAGATGCAGATGGAGGGGGGGGGGAGACAGAGACAGCAGGAGGCAGGAGGAGGAGGAGGAGGAGGACGACGACGACGAGGCGGATGAGGAGAGGGAGGGTGAGGGTGACTGGCGGAGTGGGGGGCGGGGTGGGGGGGAGGGCGGGAGAGAGGAACGGAGGGAGGGACGGAGTGAGGAAAGGAAGGATTAGGACAATGAAGACATGGAGGATGCGGGAGAAGAGACGGAGAAGGAGGAGGGGGAGGAGGATGAGACCCCGCCAGTTTTGTCCTGAATTCGCGTCGACGCTTCGGAGCCTTCCTTTCATTCAGCGATGGAGCCGAGGGATGAAGAGAGGATGAGGATTTCCCCCCTGTCATCCTGCTCGCTCCTCGCCACTCCACCTCTCCGTTCTCATTGCTCTCCTAGCCCCTGCACCTCCCCGTTACCCCTCCTTTCTTTTCATTGCGCCTCCTGCTCACCCTCCTTCTCCTGCTCCCCCAACTGCCCCTCCTCGTCACGAGGAGGGGGAGGAGGATGAGGTATGAATGAATTAATGAATTCATGAGTGAATGCATGATGAACGGATGAATGACTGAAAGATGAAGAGGATGAGGAGGAGGAGGCGGACCACTGTAACCCCAAGGCTCATTAACGATATTGAAATAAGCGCTCCCGCCAGGTGTTCTCGTCATAAGCCCCTACAAGGTTTCATTTTCACCGAGAGGGGGGGGGTCCCGTTGGAGGGCAATTGATCGAAAACCCAGAGTTCTGCCAGAACACCATTTCTCGGACCCTAACGCCGCGAATCACCGTTATTGCTGCGTCTTGACGATCCCGAACCGTGGCAGAACACCATCCTGGGATTTCAGCACCGCGAATCAATGTAACTGCTGCGCCCTGATGTCGACATCGTGCCAAACCACCATGTCTTGGACGTCAACCATGAGAATTCTTGAAACTGCTGTGGTTCTTGAGACGCATGTGCGCGGCGCTAATGCAAGAGCACCATCTTAAACATGAGCCGCCCTCCATCCCTGGACGGGCATCTTGTACACTTTTGAGACGAAGATGCGCGGCGCAGGGGCGAGAACCACATGTTTCAAAGGAGCCGCCCTCCATCCGTGTAACTCTTGCATTGTGTAGGACGGGTGTGCGCGGAGCTGAGGCGAGAGCCACATTTTGAAAAGGTCCCGTCCTCCATCCGTGAAACCCGTGCAGTTGTTTACGACGGATGCGCGCGACGCTAAAGCGAAGGTCACAGTTTGAAGATTGCCCGCCCTCGATCAGTGAAGCTCTTGCAGACTTTGAGATGGATGTGCGAGACGCTAATGCGAGAGCCGCATTTTGAACACGGCCCGCCCTCCATCCGTGAAGTTCTGGTGCATTCTCGTTTTAAGTATCATTAGCTGTGAGGAAGTCGCAGGCAAAACTCTCAGCTCGCACTGCCGACACGCTTTGGGGTGCGACAGGGAGGAGTCATTTATACGGAAGAGGAGGAGGAGGACGAGGATGAGGACGAGGATGAGGAGGACGAGGACTAGGATGAGGACGACGCGGACGAGGACTCATGGAAGCATCTAGAGGTTCTCTTGTGGCTGCTGCTGCTGCTGCTGCTGCCGGTGCTCTCTGGGAATTTTGGGGGCCCTCCTGAAACCCTCTTGGTAATCCTTGAGGGCTTCTTTGGATCACCTTGGAGGCCATCGATTACAGGATGGGGGGGGACACGGGGATCCAGTTGGGACCTCGTGGCTCGCGCGGCGGGCGCCACGATGGCGCCGCCGACGCCCCCGGCGTGCAGCATGGCGCCGCCCGAGATGCCGCCATTGGCCGACAGTGCGGCTCATCGCCACGCGGCGGAGCGATCTTCCAACCCCGCGCAGTCGCCGGAAGAGGCCTTCCCGCACGCGGTGGTCAAGGTCGCCGACCATCTGCCGCTCGAGGCGATGGCGGCCCTCAGCGGCTCGAGGGCGGCCACGATCACGGCCGCGGTGGCCTGGGCGTGCATGGCCAGCAGGGCCCTCGGAGGCGGCGCGGCGTTCAGCGCGCGCCGCGCGCGGATGGAAGCGGGCGCGGCGGCCAGGCTCGCGGAGGGCGCCAACTTGAAGGGCGCCCGGGCCGACCTACAGGCGCTGCCGCACAAGGGGGCCCCCCTTCGCGAGGGTGCTGGGCTCCGTGGGCCTTGACGCAGGCGGTGTCCGATGCGGTGCCAGACGCGGGCTTCGATTCCACGTGCGACAAGGACATCGGCCAGGCCGGGCCGGCGGCCGTGGCCACGTTCCTCAGTTGCGCGGCGTTGACCACCGTGGCCCATGACTCGCCGTCGCCGCTCGGCGCAGCCATCGCAGTCGAGGCCATAAGCGACGCCGACGCGGCAGTCGCGGAGGCTGCGGCCGGCGCCCCTCTTGTCTCGGAGCTGCTGACCGCTGGCCTGATGACCGACCCCCTGCGCGATGGGCCTGGCGGCGTCGGGATCGGCACGCGCGGCGCCGCCGAGGCGTTCCACGTTCCAGGAAGCGCGCTCGCGGCAGCTCGCGGCGATCTCGGGCCCCCGCGGGGACCCGACCTTCGACGCCTACATGTAGCATCGCAGCCGGCGGAGGCCAGCAGCTCGGCCCGTGCAGTTTGCGGGCAACGCAAGCTGGGCGCAGCGGCTGCTGGCGCGCTCCATCCATGGGTTTCGAGGTTTTGCCCGTGCAGACGCCGCTGCGTGCCCCTGCGTCGGCCTCGCGGGGCAATTGCGGGCCGTCGGCTTGGTTATTTTTGCCTGGCGGGCGACGCGGGTGCTTCGCAGCCTCTTCCATTTTCGCTTGCCTCGGGTGCCCGAGGCCCGCTGAGCTGCCTGCCGCTGTTGTTCCCGCGCTGAGTCAGCAGCGCGCCTGGCGGTGCGGCCGCGAACGTCACTGGCCCCCTGCGCGGCAAACGCGAAAGCCCTCTTGCACTTCTTTCCGTCTGGAGAGTTTTTTGCTGAGTGCGATGGTGAGAGCCGGGTGTTCCGTCATTGGTGCCGCGTGGGCCGCCTGCATTTTCTCGGCGCCAGTTTTAATTTTACCATTCGAGTGCAAAGAACAGCACTTCATGACATGTGTTTTGTGTGCGATGATCATTTGTATTCGCATTTGCCCTTGTAGTATCCTGCAACCACGGATTTGTTTCTACTGTTCTTATCTCAGCGCTATTTTAGTCAGTGCAGGTAAGGTGTGCTTGCACTATGCGTTCTCGTCGTAGTTCCATCCGCGCAAGAAACCACCGCATCCGGATGTTCTGGATATTTTTCAACAGTGATTTTTTTGGGCTGTTTTGTTGCCGCTGTTGTTGCTATCATGCGCGCATTTTCACATCTAGCGTTCTTGTCACTTTGCGGTTTTGTTTCATGCAGAGAGTTCCCCGCATACAGTTACCTCGACGTGTTGGTGCGAAACCGAATGGCGGGTATTCGCAACGTTTCCCTTTTTTCACAAGACGCGCTCGCGCGTTGTTCAGGGCAGGTTTCTCTAGTAGCTGTCTGGTTGCTGCCGTATTTCAGTATGATTTGCCAGGCGGCGCGCAGCGCTTGTTTTCGCTTGCAAGCTTCGCGTGTTTTGCATTGGTTCGCGGCACTTGCGCAGCGATGTTTCGCGGGGCGTGGTTCGGCTGGTTTTGCGCGACGATGTGCCCGTTGATGCGGGCAGAACGCGCCTCTGTGCGACGTCGCCACCGGAAGCGTTTCTATGTCGCCTGGCAAATTATTTCTAGGCACTCGGTGCCTCTCCCTCCTTCCTTTGCGTTGCGATGCGCCGATATGTTTGGATGCAGTTTAGTTCTGGTCGCCCAGCATTCACGCGCCCATTTTTCTGGCGTGTTGCTTCGGTGCACTTATCCTCGTGCATGCGTGTTTGTTTGCGCCGTTTCCCTAATTGATTGGCTTTGTATTGTTCGTTTGTTGATATTAGCGCACATCCCAAGTGGAACGCTCCATTGGGCTGTGGAAGGCACGCCTCCATGGTTTAATTAATCGCATCGCGTTTGCGCGTGCGCATGCGACAAAACATGCTATGCCAATATTGTTGCAGCTTGTCCTGCGCACCGCGGGTGCACAACAGCCGGCGTAGTGAGTTGTCCATGGTTGCCCAGGGATTCGTAACGCGAGACATATAAACGCCCATCGTTTTGAAAAGGCCGCAACGTGTGACACGTTCATCCTCTTTGTTTCGGTGTATATTGCTTCGTCTTCGTCGTCGCCCTCTCCTCCTTTCCTCCCCCTCTTGTTGCATTCCCACCTCTTCCATTTGATTTCCGACGCAAGGGTTGCATAACAGGTTTCTTGTGTGTGTGTGTGTGTGTCCCATGAGGCGCTGAATGGGTATGCCGAGGATTCGCCACGTTGCCTGCCGTGCTGCCTGGTGGCCGCCCTGCGGGTGTCCCCCCGCGTTTGGGGGGCATGCCGAGGTTGTGTGCCTTGCCGCCCGTGCCGCCCCAAGGCCGCCCCGTGGCCGCCTCGCGGCTTCCCCCCTTTCCTGGGAATCTGCCGACGTTGCGCCATTTTGCCGTCCGCGCCGATCCGTAGCCGGCCCACGGTCGCTTTTTTTTTGTTGCTCCGATGCCGTCCCGTGCGGTGGCCCCAGTTGATTGCACCACTTAGCTCCCATTGCTCTGACCACAGGATGAACTACAGCTACGGCGGCGATGGCAGCAGGGTTGCCTTCAAGTCTCGGCAGAACAACTGCTTCGCGTTCCCCAATGGGGTCGCTGGTTGGGGACCGCCGACGGCCACGCCGGGGCGTCGCAACTTTGGGTCTCCATCGCTACAAAAAAACATGGTCGACGTAAGGACCCCGCGGGGTCCTTATTAAATCGCCCCCGGGGGGCCATGGCGGCCCAGACGCGCGAGACATCCGTGCAAACTAGAAATTTACTAAGGACTTTCCGGGGTACCAAGTAAGGGCCTTACTTGGGCCTCCGCCGGGGTACCAACTAAGGGCCTTACTTGGCCGCCTGGCGGCCCCCTGGGGACCTGGGTTTTGGCTCTGTGGAGTCCTGGGTCCAGACGGCCCGCGGCGGCCAGAGCAGAAGACCCAAAGTGGGGCGGCGCGAAGAGCCAACGGGGCGCGCTGTCGGCGTATATTCCCTGGTCACAGCGGGCGGCCACGTGGCGGCTACAGGGCGGCGCGCGCGGCAACGTGGCGAATCGGCACGTCCCTCCAAACTTTTAGTGGGTACAAGTGATAACCTTTCAGTTCAAGCACTGTTTGGGGCTTCGTGACAGAACGTGTTGTTCTTGGCTGCGCGAGGCAAGGGAAGAGAGCAAGGGGGGGAGAGGCGAGGGGGAGGTGAGGGAGAGGGAAGGAGGACGGGGAACGGGAGGCGACGGCGGAGGACGCGCGGAGGGACGAGCAGGGAGAGGAGAGCGAGGAAAAGGATTTGTTTGCGCAGGCGGCGAAATAAACATGTGGCCGCCCCGCGGCCCCACCCTGCCACCCTGCCTGGGCGCCGCGCGGACAGTAGTTTGCAGCGGTTCTTTGGTGCGCCTGGGCGCACCCATTCACGAGGAACCCCCAGGGGCCCAGCAGTGAATAGGAATGGATAGCGCGCGCCGCACACAGTTGCCAACTCGGCCGCTTTAGCTCCATGCTGGTCCGCGCCAGCGCAAGTTTCAGGAACAAACATCAGTGCGCGGGCTTTGCGGGAGGTTGGAATTGGCAGCTGCGGCAGCTATGTGGTTGAGCGTGTTCACGCTTGCCTGTTTTTTCCTGCCCTTACCTTGAGAGGGGGCAGGGTTCGTCCGCCGCATTTGTCTTGCGCTTGGTTCCTCTTGCAACCCGCGGTCCTCTCCACATGTAGGGGTGCTAGATTCGTCGGCGGCGGGGCCTGCCAACCCGCCTTGTCGATATTAGCGACGCAATGGGCCAACCAAATGTTGGACAGATGGCGCCGCAGCCGCTGCACCCCCACCCATGGGCAAACAATCTTGCCGCTTTCGCGTTGCAAGCCGACGCGCGCCAGCCCCGCCACAACATGAACGCGCTGCGCTTGCTGAATCCGTAGCACCGCATGCCGCATGCTCGCTGCGAGCGCCGACGCAGCGATGCGTGGCGCGTCCCCCATATTGACGTCGGGGGTAGGCGGCCGTTTTTTCTGTTGATTTCTCGGTGCCGTTCGGCAGCATATTGGCAACGCCAACGGGGGACCTTGGCGCATTCACCTTGGGCGCTGTTTCTTAACGCGTGACATCGTCAGCCTTGCGCGCCTTGCGTGCTTGTGCCATCGTCGGCATCGATGTCGGTGTTGCTTGTCGGCTGGCGCGCACATCCGAGATGGCGCCGGCCCCGTGGAATGTCTGTGGTGCCGCGGCCGCGCTTGTTTTGAAGGACTGGGCGCGCGTGAGCGCTGTTGTTGCGCGCAACGCAGAGCGAGTCACGGTCGCTCGTGCCAGACGCTGCTCCATAAATTTGGATTTTGGCCCGTCCTGGGACTTTTTGTGAATTTGCGGATGCGGTGATTTCCATGGAATTTCAAGAGGCCGCAATCGTCAATTGTACGATGGTTTTCAAACGATTTTGGCCTTCCAGCCTTTTCGGCTGTCCGACGTTCTAAGACGGCCCACTAGGCCCCCCAAAGCGCCCCAAGACGGCCCAAGAGGGCCCCGAGACGGCCCCAGAGTCGCCCAAGAGAGCCCAACAGAGCTTCAATACGGCCCCAAGATGCGCCCAAGAGGGGGACCACGACTTCCAAATTCGACCCTCCCGCTTGAAGAGTGCCCCAGGAGGCCCCAAGGAACCCCCAAGAGGCCCCAAGGAGGCCCCCAAGAGGCACCCAGGAGGCCCAAACGATGCCTAAAGAGGCCACGAAACAGCCCCGAGGAGGCCCCGCAGCGGTCCCAAAACGGCTACCAAGAAACTGCGAAACTGCCTTCACGACGTCCCCGACAGGCCAACCACGATATCCAAAGCAACACCCATGAGGCCTCTGACCCACCACCCAGGGCACGGTGGCGGGAGCAGTGACAGCACTTGTGCACAGCTTGTTCCGGCGGGAGCCTTCTGGAACACGCTGCAGGAGGAGGAGGAGGAGGAAGATCAGGAGGAGAGAGAGCTGGAGTGGGAGGAGGACGAGGAGGGGGACGAGGATGAGGAAGAGGCCTCCCAGACAGCTCCAAGATAGCCGAAGAGGCTTCCAAGAGGGCCCTGGGCGGCCCACGGGGACCCCAAGGCGGTGCCTGAGGCCCCCAAGACGGCCCGAGAGGGCCCCAAGACGGCCCCAAGAGAGGCCCAAGAAGGGAAGCACGAACCGAGAATCCGAGCTTTCTACCCCGAGAGGTTCTCGGGAAGTCCCAAGAGGCCCCAATCGGATCCAAGAGGCCCCCAAAAAGCTCCCAAGAGGGCCGACGAGGTCCCAAGAGATCTCCCAAGGTGGCCCCAAGAGGCACAACTCATTGTTTTACGATTGGGCTTTGACGGGTTTAACTTTGTTCTGCCTTTTGGTATCCCGATGCTCCAAGACGACCCAAGAGGCTTCCAA